ATAAAATGTTCAAAATACGCATTGTGAGTAATTTACATGCAATGTTTTAAATAGAACTGTATTACTTTTTATAAGGGCATGGCAAGAAAAATAAAGCTGTTCATTTTTGGAGAAAAAAAACATTCAAGCAGATCCCAGAATTGTTCAGTAAGACTGAAGTCAGGACTGAACAAATGTCGTCCCATCTAAGGGGAAGTCTCTGAAAAAACCCTCCAAGGGGGCGAGCATTGGCTCCGGCCCAGTGGGTGGAGGTAAGTTGCCTTAGCTTCCATAATATTGTCTTTATATCTCTCTGCATTAAGATTGCCTCCAATCATGTCAAGTCCTGTATTCCCATTCAGACCCAAGCCATCACACTGCATCTGCCAAAAGATGTTTTGCATTAGGAAAGAAGCTTTAGTTTCACCACTCCACAGCTCTACCTAGAATTGCATTTTCCTGACAGATGACAAAGAATTGTTTCTCCTCCTTCATTCTAACATGCTTAATTTCAGCTGTCTGGCTAAATCTTTACTAAATGACTGCAATCTATCCATGTCTCATTACTGCTTGGAGTAAAACACAACTTTTGGGGTTGCATTTATCAAACAGCTTTTGGAGAAATTTCAACAGAATTTCAATGAGGTCAAGATGTAGAGATTTTTTATTTTCATATTAAACTCTCAGTCGTTCAGAGACTTTATCTCCTCTGTCTTCTGACACAGTGCATGTATTTTTTTTTAACAAGCTGCTCCTAGAGTTGCTTGATTGGATCTCTTTTCCAAAGTAGAAGAGTCCCATGCTCAAAGGACTGCCTTTTTAAGCATTATTGTGAAAGTGATAATCAATGATTTTGCTTCATCATCTGCAAAGGCGTAAAGTTCGTAAAATATGCCTCAGTTTCCACTGAATTGTTGATGAAAGTTTTTTTTTTCCTTTTTCCAACAAGTTATACCAAGGTCTTCAAAAGTCACCGTTGCTAAACTGTTACATTTTTCTGTGTTTCTTTGTGCCTCATGCAAGAACCGATCGTACGAACAGATTTGTTCTTAAATCATTTGTGCAAGTAATTTAGGAGAAAATGTCACATTCACCATTTTCTCCTTTTCTAAACTTGTCTCAGGTTTTTTTTTTTTTTAATTTATTTAACATCTAATTGTCCAAGCTGTAATTAAATTCATCATTAGCTGTTCTTGGGAAAATCTGCTTTATCAACAAAAAGTTCTTTATGTCATCTGATATACAGAGTTTGGACTGATTGGATGCTACTATTAGCCTTTAGCTGATTTGTCTAAATTTTCTGAGATTCAGCTGGACTTTCAAGCTACATGTCTTATTGCTAATACAAATTCATGACATAAAGTGTTGGTTCTATCTACCTTTCCTTTTTTACAGTAGCTGCATGAAAAATACTAAGATTCCCAAAAGGAGATTAGAGATGGCTCAGAGTCATCTATAATACTTTTTGGTGTTAAATTTGAAAGTTATGCCGCTAACCGGTCTAAATGACATAAGGGCTGGAAATCACAATGTTTTTTTATTGTTATTTTTACAAAAGTACATCTTTTAGATCAGATGAAAATGAAAAATTTAAATCATTGAGAGTTTTTTCATGATATCATTCAAGAAAAAGTTGTGAAAAGATTTATGAGAGACAAAAGATTGATGACATAATCATATGTGTTTTTTCAGTTTAAATGTACAGCTCTCTAAATGTAGGCAGACATTTGACTCTGACGATAGTAAAGTTCTCTTCCTCATTATGTTAAAATTAAAAATATCCTTTATACTCATAACAGACCTGAAATAGGAAAGGTTTAGTTCTACAGATCTGCAACATGGTGCTCCCACAACAGCTTTTGACAGAGCAGGGTAAAAACTAGAAGAAAAAAAAAAAGACTAATCTTTCTAAATAAAGATATAATACAATATATAATGTAAATCCCTTTATCATCCCACAATGGGGAAATTCACTCTCAGCATTTGACCCACCCTGCTGGAGAATTTAGCAGTTTTTTTTTCATTTTTTTTTTTTCATGGAATAACTGTAATGAATTTTCAAAGCATATTTATACTGAGATTATACTATTCTGATATTTTCAAGAAATTCTAAATTGCTCGAAACGAGTTTTAACTAGGCAGACCTAAGGAATAACGACTTTTTTAATTGCAAAGGTTGCAGACCTCTAGTTTCAACTAATTTAAAGTCAGTGGAAAACACGATTGTTTGTCTATGCATACAGTTTAAATGTTTGGTTCCAATTGTGCTACTGTAAATAAAGGTAATGCCGTCTTCATTCATGGGACTCACGACGTTAACATTTTTTAACCATGGGTGGCCACTGAGTTGCCCAATTCTAAAAGAAACCATCTGTTTTCAGTCTCTAATGATACAGCGTACAAACCAGTTCAGCAGCAGACATCAAAGGGGCTTTGATCTCCAACAAAATGAACGCCTAAGAGTGAAATGTTTGTCCTAGTGACTGCTACACACAGGCCTACACAGTGGATAATACAAGGAGCGACAGGAAGCCTGGAGGTTGGGACACCTCAGAGCCAAGCCCTCAGACTGCGTGGCAGAGGGATTTACTGCTGCACCTGAAAACACCTTCACTGTGTTTTCCCACAGTCATTCTGAAGCACTTCTCTTTCATCCAATTCACAGTTTCTCTAATCTTCTCGCCTAGCTTCTAATTTACATAAATATAATGCGTCAAAAAAGTGCTCACCTACATGTGCAAATTAACCCATTATGTCTGCTTTTAAAACCATAGCCACTGGGTACCGTTTGTGTAGACAAATGTTAGGAATCTGTTTCCAATGAATATGTCTAATATCAGCCTAGATGTCTACAGTCTCAAAGTCCCTTGCCTCTATGAAACTTGGCAGGCGAAGTGCATCTCTTTTTCACACCAATCAGTGTTAAGTGTGGGTGAGACAATATGAAACTGTGAGGGAACATTTTAGTGGCAGGAACATGGAGTTGTTTGAATGCTAAAGGGAACAATGTGGCGTTGAATTTTTATGGAAAATCTGATTCATTTGTTAGGCCGTAAACTCTGTGGACAAAAAAAAAAATGTACCACATCGTTTAGTTAGTTTCCCCAGATAAACTGTGCACCAAAACACCATCCATCCATCCATCCATCCATCCATCCATCCATCCATCCATCCATCCATCCATCCATCCATCCATCCATCCATCCATCCCGTTTCATATATTTGACTTTTGCGGTTAAAAGAAAATCACATAAATAAAAAGTAAAAAGAAAATCACAAGCAGACAAAAGATAAAGAAACAAAAGTGGGAAAGACAGAAATTGGCAGAATGTAAGGGCATAATCACAAATAAAAAGATGAACCTAAAGAGGATAACTCAGTGTGAAAACAACTGAGAGACACAAAAAAACAAAACAAAAAGAAAAAAACAGTCAAGATAGGAATTAGAAAAAGTAAACTTATATCGTCATGCATATCAAGAAAATCTGTCCAACAGTCTGATGCTGCATCCGTTTTGGTTATCTCCATTCATTTCCCGTTTAAATGTACTCTGCTGCATATTCACTTATTTCACAGAAATGACTGCTATACAGTAAAATCATCTCCTCCTCATTAAGCAAGTTAGGGGCTATAAAAGAGGTAAACAAATTAAATTAACTTCAATCTAATGTAGTTTCATGAAATTCAATTGAAAGGTCAAAACTAGTTTATTGGAACTAACTGTTCGTACTGTCTAATTGTCTGCCAGGAATCAGAATTACTCTGGAATATTTTCTGATTTTTCCGATTTGAAGATATTTCAGAAACATTGTGAAAATTGTGTAATACCTTCTGCAAATGCTTTGCAAAGAAAAAAAAAAAAAGAAAGAAATCTACATGAATTTGACATAATGTTCACTTAATGTTTAGGAAAGAAAAAAAAAGTCTTGTTGAATTAATTATGTCTACTGCTTTTCACTTATGTAAGATTCTATCTTATTGTTCCTGAAGGACAAACTCTATTTTCTTTGCATCTCAGTTTGCATGAAAGCTTTGTAGAAACATTAACACCAGCATGAAAGTCCTGAAGGTATATTGATAAATGAGCTCTACATCTTATAAATGTGATGGCCTTGAGAATGCTGGCTCTTACTGTGTTTTAAAAATGTTCATTTTTACCATGCCATCTTTGAACTCTACTCAAACTTAGGAGAGATCTTTAAAAAAAAAAAAACTTCTAGTGCTTTAGTTAATCGCAATATCTAAGCAAAATCATGATGTACCAATTTTAAAATAGGGTATTTTCTGGATGTAAGGAAAAAAAGACAGCTTTTGCTTTAAAACAATTGACTCTAAAAATGAGTTAAATCTAAATGGATTTCATATTTCCTACTAGAACAGTACATTAGATCCTTAAACATTAGAGAATGTCTTACACATATAAAAAAATTGGTGACTTTCCCATGTTTTTGCCTCCCAACTAAAGATTAGTAGAAATCCTCGATATCAATGTATTTATTTGGAACATATTTTCATTTGCCTGACCCTCTCCTCTCCATATGTTTCATTAGCATCAGTTCCATCCATTTTGGCTAATAATTTAGTTAATAATCCTGCTTAAGATTAATTTCCCTTTTATGGCTTCTACACACATTATGCACAACTCATAATAAATGTAAAAGGTTCAGTAAAGGTAAAGCAGCACTAGCTTGGGTTCAAGGAAATATTAAAACATTGCGGTTATGAACTTCAAAGCTGCTGGTTAACAGATATTTTCAATCAAATCATTTGCATTGGAACTTAAAGCTATGTGGTTGAAAGTCTTAAGTGTGAAGCATTTAGGCTTTAAGATGTGATTTCATCAGACCTCTTATGAATTCTCTTTATATATATGTATAAATATCGACTAGCTAGTTACATCTAAACTAAATCTTTAGTCAAACACATTAGTGTTGAATATATGGTGTCAAATTTTGACGCAAAATTAGAGAAGGCATTAAATCATGAGTTGTTCAGAGGGAAAAAAAGCAAGGAAAGGATACTGGTGGTCCAGACGTTGCCATAGGCTCTGTGGTGTCTCTACTCTCTCAGTATCAACCTGTAGACCAAAAAAGAAATAATATTACTCTTGGACGCCTCTTAAAAGTTTTGGATGGCTGATGGAAAATGATGAAAACCTGCACTACCTAAATGGCCTGTGGGGCCGTATTTAGTGACCCCTATTTGTAAAAGCGAGACCTCTGGGCAATCAGATAAACTCATAAACTGTGCAATCCTTAAAGGTCTGTAGCAGCTACAGTGAGACCAAAGCCTGAACAATTCCTGTGTGGACTCCCACCCTGGGCAAGGTTACACTCATCCATATAAACAGAATATAACTTGGTCTCATCCCTCCAGCAGGATCCATGCAGTCATCCAGCTGCATGCTCACTTTGGTCGCACAGTGCTACAAAGATTCAAAAACCTTCTCTGATTCATAGCATGCAGATAAAAGCATTGTTGCAGAAAAAAAAAAGAAAAATATGAAAGAGACATGTTCAAGAGCTGCTCCAGTGATGAGGTGAGAGGGGCATGCATGCATGGATGTGTACAAACCACAAAACTAGACTTTAGATGTGCTAGGTAGGATGTGGTAACTTTAGTTGCTTTAAAAGAGGCAAAAGGGCATTTCATCTTGACTCTGCTTTTCTTTCAAGTAAAATGGAGTACAAATAAAGAACATGCAATAACAAGAGCCTCTAAAATTTTATTAAATAACACATTTTATGCACAGATAAATTGTGCATAAATTAAATGCCTCCATAAAAAAGGAGAATTTTTCAGCTTTTACCTCAGAGCAGACATCCTGCAAACTGACATCTGTGTCCTCTTCCACTCTGAATCAAGACAGAAAAAGGTAAAATCAAACGGTGAATCAATCACATATTCAGTAGGAGGCAATCTTGGGTCAGTGCTTCTGTCTTTATTTGTGTCTTTTCTTTATTTTTATTTTCATTTATTGCTTACTTAAACACTGTGTACTCTCTTTTTGTGTCATATAGAAAGTAGTCCTTCCCTAGTTCTTAGGAGTTGAGAAATGTCTTTTTCCGATGAAAGAGCTATTGTTGCCATTCACTTTGTGTTCTTATTTTTCTCACTTAGAATGTTACCAGAAAGTGTGTCTGGCTAAGAGGGTGTGCATTTTTATGTGTTCTTAGCCAAAACTACTGAAGGAATATGGCTGCGATCAATCTTAGAGTTTTTTTTTTCTCCTATAGAACTTATTAGTGGTTTAGCGTCCCACTAATCCATGTGCTGAGGCCTGAACTTGTCAGACTGCAGGAGTAAAATGTCTGTTGAAGCATAAATGGCTGCTGATGCTTGCTCCTACAGGTCAGTAGTTTACTCTAAGAGCCCATCAGTGCTACTGAGAACACTTTGAGATATCCTACTGCTATTTATCACATGTCTGTGAGCCTTTTGAATGTGCTGACACATGAGGCTTTTACCAGCAGTACCCTGCAATAACTGCACTAGAGGTTTTCATCAGAGCAACAACTTGGAGTGACTACTTATAGGTGTACATATTCACTAAGCAATTTTATAGCGTCACTTCTTTCAGATCCCAGACTATTTGGTGCTTTCCATGTTCTCTTGTTTTTTTAATATCTGTCCATTTAAAATATTTACATGTCAAACTTTTTTTTAAGGATTTTGCTGCTTCAAAGTTTTCATCGTATTTCATTGGTATTGGTAAAAGAAAGCATGGGTTTCAAATACCTAATTAAATAATAAAAAAAAAAATCTAAAACCTGTGGATTGCATTTGTGACCTTCCACTTTTAATCTAATAGATCTTGATTAGATCAAATGAAGCAAAACCCCTTTACCCAACCCTAAAGGGTAAATAGAGTTCACGTTTTGTAATTTAATTATGATTTTTCAGTATAAAATCAGCTATTCTTGAAGGCCTAAGGGATCAAAAAGTAACTTAAAGGCCAATGAACACAACAGACAGGCCAGATATACAGCACCAGTGAAGTTTCAATTTGTTTGATAAAAAAAACATCAGAAGCTTTGTAGCACTATCTAATCCATCATATTATAATAGAAAAGAGTATTGAACAACTATAGATCATTAATTAAAGAGGCAGCCAAGAGGCCCACTGGATTAACTGCAGAGATCCAAAGCTAAGGAGAGAGAATCTGTTGACAGCAAACCTAATTTAATTGTTATTTCTACAGGTGGAGTCTTAGTTGAAAATTAGCACAAAAAAAAAGACTTTTAACTGCCTCTAGCTATTTACATTTTCAAATGCCCCAAAAATTCTATGCAACGAGAAGGTGGTGCAAACTTTGAGTGATTTATTGATTAGCCCAAAGCCATTTCATAGTTACAATTCTTTCTAACATTCAATTCTTAGTTCCCCCATTCAATTTAAAAAGAAGAAGAAAAAAAACTTCTGTTTGTCGATTTGTATCATTCAACAGGCACTTACTATCAAATTCTAGATTTGTTGTCAGCAGGCTTTTAGCTAGGAATATTTCATAGGGTGTACACCTTGGTATCTCACATCTTTAGACTTTGCTCTGCGAAATTTTGAAATTTAGACTGAAATGCTATTTCCTGCATCTTGAGGTGGAATGCAGCTAACTTCTTGTCTTTGTTGTAACACTACTTTTGTCCTCATTATAGGAAGCATGTGTGATTGACTAGAGGTGGAAATTTCATAATGAAGACATGCAATCATTTTTAGTTACAATGTTATATTTCACAGGTTAATTCAGACAATCGGAAAGTATAATGTTATGTTCCCACTACGATATGAGTAGCAAAAAGCGCCTGCTGCTTAATTTTTGATGCTTGTACACATTAAGGTGATGCTCCTGAGGCACGTCCAGTAAAGTGTTTACAGCTGCGTCTACTGCTTCTGCTCCTCCTGTGCTCAGTGGCAAAGAGTGGCTTTGCTATGTTTTCTATGATAAGGGGGTAAAAAGTAGTTTT